CTCTTTTTGTTATTATCTAATACTCCATCTGTCCCAACATTATTGTCCAGTTTAGAATTTTAGTTCTAGTGTAAATTGAACTAAATGTGAAAATTCAAACTCGACAATAATTTTAAGACAGGGGAAGTATACTTTTGCTTGTGTAGTTCAAGTGTTTATTTAAATACCTACAACACACTTGTTAGACGGTTCTCAAGCACGCCAGAACTAGCTAAACCCGAGAAAATCGGGATATGTTTCTACTGCTGAAAAATCTCTATGCTTTTTAATAAAAAAAGAAAAACTATATGCTTTAGTTCAACCAAATTAATTTATCAGTAGTGATACGTGAAGAAAAAAGTTTTAGGAAAAACTTAGAAAAAATAATTTATCATCAAAATTATGCCTTGACCTTAGATGACTACACACTAAATAAAAATGAATGGTTACAATTCTTTCCTTGTTAAAATTTCTATGCACAAATCATTATCCATAATTTATTTGTTCCAAAAACCTAAATAAACTAGTGGAGAAATCCTTAACAAACACGTATCAGTGTTCTTACACACAAGTCTACTATTTTCTGCCTGATTACCTTGATTCGTAGGTTTTTCCAGCAATTTTAAGCACTTGTATTGCTGTCCATTCAGTCATCTCATTAACCTATGAAAGATGCTGCTTTTTATTTTTTAAAAAAAAAATTCTTGGTTTTGATCATAGGTAGTTGTTACATGCATAAATGAAACCCAATTTCAAGAAATTGTTAAGAAAGAAAGAGTAAACAACGTAATTATATAAATATATATATATATAGACACACACACGTATTAATTAAATTACAATATCAGTGAAGAATTTATGGATACCTCTACAGTCTTAATGAATTATTTTCTTCATATCAATGATCATCAGGAACAATCCTGGTTTGCGATTAAAAAAAAAGAATCAATAAGTGACTTGGAAGGATTGTAAAATTTAAGGTTATTAACAATACTAGCAAACGAACCAACAATAGCGGCAATGGAAAGATCAGAGAGACAACACTCATTGTTTGCAGATATAACCATTTTGTGCTCCATCTTTTCATGCTTAATATATATTTCGACTGGGATATTTTTTTTGGTCAAAAGTAAACTGATTTTCCATTGCATTCATCAACCTCCTACTATTACATCCTGTAATCAGTCCTCTATTACATCGCACTGATCCAGTCAACTCATCTATTATACTCTGTTCTTTGGCACTCAACTTTTTACAACAAAAATGAACTCTTACTCTAACCTCCTCGTTTATTAGTTGCAGGATTTGATCATCTGTTCTACACTTAGTTTGGAACAGTCTCTAGTTGCGCTCTTCCCACAGTTGACAAATGCCTGCTATCAAACTTGCCAATATACTCCTTCTCATCTTAGCCTTCGTTCCACACAGATTTCAGTTCCACTTTCTACAATTCATTCTGACCTGTCAGTTTCCATACTCCAAACCAATCTTTAATTCCCTGCAGCTCTTTACTAGAATAGCATCATTCAAAGTATAAATGCCTCACATTCTCCACCTGAGTATTACAGACTTTATATCTCACATTAGCAATATTGATATGATATTGCTGAAATCTTTCTCTTGTCCAGAGTCTCCCTTGCCACATTAACCAGGCAATAAAAGAGTGTTTTGGCAGGTTCATCTTTGTCCAGGGTTTTCGACTAGGATATTGGGTGGTATACTTATAGACTTTATTGACGAGTGATGATTCTCCGATTTCTAACTTGATCTCAACAATTGGTGTCTCCTACCTTAATTACTGTTCCAACCGATCCTTAGTTTCCTAGAAAGAAAATTGATTTCCGATTCATTAAGTAATATATATTACTAACATATATACTTCGGTTATCAACATATAAAATGCATATGGACAATTAGCATGGTGGCTGTGTTCAGTTGTGCGAGAACTGAAATGCGAGATTTATCTTTTATGAGTAAGCTAAAGTTGACTACAAAGAACAAAAATACAAAGGGTTTTAGATACAAAAAAGAAATACGAAGAGAAATCATATGTTTGATGTTTTAGGTTGCCAGTGCAAAGAGGTTTTCTTTGTACCTAAATCAAATCGAAGAGTGTGATGGAAAAAATATTGTACATAAAGTATTCGAAATAATATTGCTCAATAAGTTTATCCTGATAGTTAGCATTTAGATTTCGCAGCTAAGACTTACTTGGTAGATGCCCCAGATAATCAATATGCTCTTTCATCACTAAATTTCAACTCTGACTCAAAGTTTCTTTTTGTCTTCAACTTGTTGATAAACTTATAAAACAATTGCGATTTTGAAGATAAATTTTGTCCAAGAACAAAGACATGTCTAGTACGGAATGTTACTTAATTAGCAAGCGTGAATCTAAAGCCTTTGACAGAGTGAGAAGGAACTTTATTTTGGATACTCATAATGATGCTAACATCCCCCGGTACTTAACTGATGTAATTATGAGTACACTTACCTCAAGCTCAACATGTATTGCCTGGGAGGGTAAAATATGCGACCTATTCTTTCCTAATAGAGGAGTGCGACATGGAGACCCGGTCTCTCCATAAATTTTTTCCTTTGTATGGAGCGGTTAGCACACGCAACAACAGAGAGGTGATTTAGGAAATTGGAAACCACTGAATTTTGGAGGCGGTGTTCATCTCTCCCACCTGTTCTTTTGTAGACGACCTGATCTTATTTGCTGAAGCCTCCACTTCCCAAGGAGAAACCACTAGCAGAGTTTTGGAGGACTTCTGTAAATCTTCGGGCCAAGCTATAAGTAGTGAGAAGTCAATAGCATACTTCTCCCCTAACACTGATGAAACAGCACACACTTCCATTAGTGAAATCATGAGAATCCAGTCGGTTAAGGAATTGGTAAATACCTCGGAATTCCAATCCTACATGGTCGAGTCACAAAAAAAAAAACATTGGGGGAGACAGTGAGGTCGGTCGAAAACAGAGTTGAGACGTGGCAACCAACCAAAATATCCCTTGCTAGCAGACTAACACTCGTACAAACGTTATTAGGAGCTCTACCACAGAACCTAATGCAATCTGCCATGCTTCCTAAGGGTACTAGTGATGACATTGATAAAATTCGCAGACGGTTCCTTTGGGGTGCCAAGAAAAATGAAAGAGAGATGAGCCGTGTTAGTTCGGACACACTGTCAGCCAAAAATGACAGGTGGTTTGGGAATTCGTAAGATGAGGGATTTCAATATTTCCCTTATTCTTAAATTCACATGGGGTTTAATTTTAGGCAGCTTTAGTCTTTGGTGCAAGGTATTATGCACCAAATACAACTTCAATGTACACCACACACCAAAATACACCTCTAGCAAAAAATGTTTCCGCTTTTGGAAGCATATTTGCAACAGTTGGAGTGAAGGCCTTAAAGGCGCTATATGGACATTGTTTGATGGCAAGAGAACAAAGTTCCGGACTGACAACTGGGTTGGCTCCAAATCTCTCATCAAATCTGCTTCATCATCGATTCCTCCGGAAGTAATTAATGCTCCTGTCTGTTACTATGTTGATCATAATGGAAGGTGGATGTGGGAATTTTTTGTGACATATCTCCCTGATGAGGTGTTGCATGCCATTGATGCTATACCCCCTCCAATGGAAGGATTAGGTTCGGATACTCTGTCGTGAGAGCAGCTCCTACAAGAAGATTCTTGGTCTCCTCTGCTTATGACCTCCTTTGTGAGGGAACCTGGGAACTGTAACACCGAAAGTGGAAGACCGTTTGGAAGTGGTGGGGTCCAGAAAAAATAAGACTCTTCTTGTGGAATCTCTTCAGGAATTCTCTTTTGACAAACTGTGAAAGGTGTCGCCGCCATATGACAGATGACGGCTCCTGCCACCTATGTGGCCAATGGGAATCTCTAATGCACACCTTAAGAGACTGCTTTAGAACTACAGAAATATGGCGACACCTTCACAATGAGATTCCAGAAGACTTTTGGTATGATTCTGATAGTTTCAATTGGACTTTTTCTAACTTAACCTCCTCGAATATGCAGGGTAACATACCTTGGAGCATTTGGTTTAGGGTCAGTTGTTGGAAACTTTGGCACGTTAGGAATGTGGAGATCTTCGAAGGGAAAGACATAAGACGAGCTTATGTTGTAGCTACCATAACTGCAATGACAAAGGAAATTTGGAGAGCCCACAATATCCACAATGGTGCTGCTAGAACACTAAACAATATTTCAGGCCACAAAGACCCTCCTCGATGGATTCCGCCTCCTTAGCAATGGCTAAAACTCAACACTGACGGTGCAGCTTCCCTGCTAGACGGAAAGGCAGCAGCTGGTGCCATCTTCAGGGATTACCTCGGCTTTTGGATTTTTGGTATTACTTCTAACTTAGGTAGCTGCGACTTACTCCAAGCTGAATTATGGGGCGTTTTATAGGGTCTTCAAATCGCACAGTACATGGGCTACTTAAAGATATTAATTGAACTTGATTGCGAAGCTACCCTCTCTCTTCTGCAACAGAAATTGGATGATGTTCACCCTGGTTCTTTGCTAGGAAGAATAAAAACCTTACTAGCAGATGATTGGCGTATCTCTTTTGCCTTTGTTCCTAGGAAGGATGCCAATAAAACGGCGGATGCCCTAGCTAAATTATGTTTTTCATATCCTATAGGGCTACATATTTTGCCAACCCCACCTTCAAGTTTTGTAGAACGTTTGTGCAGTGATTTTGTAGGCAATACTCCTTCTGGAGGACTGCTTGTTCTAGAGCTTTTGGCTCCCTATTTATAGAGAAAAAAAAAAGGCGTGAATCTATAATTAGAACAAACTTAAACTTTTGCCTTTTTATTTGGGTATACTATAAACCGGTGCTCAAAGCTATTATCCGCGCCAATTGAATTTGAGTGGGATTGGTTTCTTTTAGAAAATAAGATTTTTCAAACAAATATTTCAATCATAGGTCCTTGCCAATTCCTCTATATGTAACATGAAATTAGTATTAGCAAAAACTTATAGCCCGGACATGATCGTTTATATCCAAACTCGATCTCCATGCATGGTTCGTCCGTTCAATATTGCGTGTATAGTTTTATATCCAACCATATAATTCGCTATGCTTTCTAAGAATTTCATAAATTATCTTTCTTTGTAATTTTGAATATTGTAAGCAATAACCAGGACACGAACACAAAAGGCGCAACCTCATTCAAAGACTTAATCATTACAATTGATATCTCATAAGGTTTTACAAATCTCTAGAGCCTAGATGTGTGAAATCGATTCTCCGAATTCATTTCCCTAGATCGAAGAAAAACACGGGCCTACAAAAGTATAGGTGAAAAATTACAAAGGAAACAGTATTGCAGTAGGACAATGATAACCTTAAAAGGCTATATCGATCTCTTAGAAAGCACATCATCTAGATGTTCTTATTATGCCAACACTTTACATCTTAAACTTCACAAATTTATTGATATTAAGACGAAGGAATACAAAAGGGAATTGAACGTAAAAAAAAATGAAAAAAGGAATTGACATAGCATCAAATGCTGATAATTCATCGTGATCCTTCAGAATCGGAGTCGAAACCAGGAAGAACATAACGGTAAAAAACGAAATGCATCTCAACAAGAATATCATCTTTGGTGGTGGAATTAACCGAGCTAGCTGCCGACGTGCCAATCCCTCGCGCCATCCGGAAATCGCCAGAACCACCAATGATCGGAAACTCCCGGTAGGTTTCAGCCACCGGATCACGCCCCAAGACGCTAAGAGTGCTACCTTTGTACTTACCTTCGGTGAAAACAAAATTAACACTTAAAAGGTTACTTAATTCTTCATTTGAGGATGGAGCAAATATTCCCTGAACATAACCAATGATTTCTTTCGAGTTCGGTTCTTCTGTCAATGGAGCATCTATTACACTCACTAGACCGAAATTCGTCGGCGACGTGGCGGTGGATTCCGCCTGAGCAACCGGGACGCTCGTCGGGTTCTCCATGTTGACAATGTTGTGAACAAAGAAGTGGAGTTTTGTCAACTTAGGAACTGCATTGGGGAAATGTTGGAACCATTTTTGCATGGCGGCCGGACTTTGGTCGTCCGGGAGGGCATGACCTAATGAAGCCATGTTCATGACCACAATTGCCAGAAGCAATGCTACCATGATGCTCTTCATGTCTCTTTTAATTTTGAACTTTTTTGAATAATCTTTTCTTCTTGTGTTTTTTGGATGAAGTCCAGAAACTGCATGCACAAATATATATATATATATATATAGGAAGGGACTTTGGAAGAGATGGAGATAGATAGGGAGAAGACGTTTTTGTCGACCGATTCTTGACAATTCACGTGGAAATTTTGAAAGAGTAAATGATCTCTTTCTGTCGTGTGGATGAAGTCAAGCAAATGTATGCACAAAATATTCAATTGCGTGTTGCGACTGGATTTTAAAATAATCTCTCTGTTGTTGATTACAACTGTTCAATCGGGCAGCCCTACGTATCATCAACGTTATTATTGCATGGATTTTTTTCTAACTTTTAATACTAGATTGCATTAATGGGGAAAACGAAAGTTGTTCAAACCGAAAGCTATTCGATAAGCCACCCGAATCAATTTACGGGTCAGCATGCGGGTCATTAGGATCCGCCTCCTTTCTTTTAACAAAATGCATAAAGGGGAAAAACGGACGAAAAGAAGTAGTCGCCGAAAAAGGGCTTACTTTTCGCAGTATGTGTGAATGTACTCATTTCTGGTGATTTTTGGTGTCGTACAAACACTTAGGCATCAAAAAAACAAAAAATAATACTCCTATAATAATTTTTTTAAGTAGTCAAACGTAATGATCTATATCAACCTGCAAATTATTAAAATTTGTAGTCAATGACGTGTTTCGATTTAAATTTGAGATAATCAATGAAACAATTTTGACCTGAATCTGACATCCCCCTTCAGCTGTGGAAATTAACTTAACCTATATTTTTTGTGGCAGCCAAAACAAAATTTATTCAACGTATTAATAACGTAGTGTAATGCGTGTTAAGAAAGACCAAGTTCAATCCCAGTCTACCGCCTCCACCCCCTTCCTCAAGAGAAAGAAGAGAGATGGAAAATCAAACAATTCCTCATCCAATCTTAATTACAAAGTGAAAAGAACTTCTTCATAATTAGTTGTTTTCTTCATTTTTTTTTTAACTATGGAAAAACCGGATAGCCGGAGGGAAATGCTGGGTTTTTCCAATGGGTAGAAGATTCAAACTCGTAACCTTCTGTTAATATTTCCTTCCTTTTTTAACTAATTACTCTAAATGTTTTGTACCCCACGTTGAGAATCTCTACCAAAGAAAAATAGGTTTTATTTGTGAATTTGAGTTTTAAAAATGAGTTTTCTTTCTAATATTGTAAAATTCCTTTATCCTACCTAAACAAAAAGAGCAATTAACTGCCTACTTTTATACATGTCAACTAAACACACAAGTCCTCGCCTTAGATTAGTTATGCACCTCTTTCAAGTTTCAATTGAGTTTAACCTACCCCGCCCCTTGTCAGAAGACAAGAGTTAACTTATCTCCTTTTCCCTTGAATATATCATCGAAAATTTATATATGCTCTTTTTCTCATAAAAAATTATCTAAAATAAATAGAAATGAAAACTAATGCAGACAATATGGTTTTGTATGATTTTGTACAGTATTCGAATGAATACACTTTTTTAAATAATTAAGAACTTTGTTGCAACTATTCTAGCGTTAATTTGTTACTATTAGAGCATCTCCAACGAAAACACCAAAACACTATTTTTTTCTTTTAAATTTGGTGTTTTGGTGTAAATTTTGTACTCCAACGAAGACACTAAATTAGTGCACTATTTTAGTGCAGTGAATTGTGTTACACCAAACTAGGTGTTAGACCCGTCCGATGGACGGGGAGCACATATACATAAACATTACTACACAAACAAATCAAAAAAATGTTAATATTTGTACTAATTTTTGTATTTTTATAAAATATATAATAAATTCATTAAAAAATATAAAACACAAATATCGACAACACTTTACCAAACGAATACACTGGTAATTTATTTAATGCAAAAAAAGACTGTTAAGAAATTAAAAAAAAATAAACTTTGAATTAAATAATTATATATCTTGCAATATTTCTTGGTAGACTACATTGGTAGTCTGGGATGGAAAGGTCGGCTAGAGTGGTTAAAAAATTATGATAAGGAATTTTATTTTATTTTATTTTTTTTATTTTTTGAAAAGGTTTATGATAAGGAATGGTTACGATAGAAACAACAACCCTAACTTGTTGTAGAGGCCAACCAATTTTTTAATAAGAAAAATTAAAAAAATAAAAACAGTTGGATATCAGGACCTTTATTCCTTGTTTCGGAGTGACTTTTGATTTCTTAGTCTCGCTACATCAACCCATCACCATTTTATTTTAACGCAATTCCATATTTGAAGCTAAATTATAGAAGTTTCAGGTTGGCCTAACTTCTTTAATTATTTTAATAAATTATTAATATAAAATTCATTTTCAGTTGCGTTTTTTTTTTTAGGAGGAAGAGATCTGTCCATCGGATTTGCAGGGATTTGGTCGAATCAATATACGGTTTGAACTTTTTCAGTTGCGTTTTTTTTTTTTTGGTTTTTATTGTTTTGTTTTGTGCATTTTTATATCAAAAAAATTAAGAAAATACCACATTGGATAAAATCCTATGTGGCATGTGCTCCTTAACTTTAGATTTCTCTCTCTTGTTTTTACCTTAGTATAGTATATAGATAGATATGCTATAAATTGTCAACTACACTATTTTTTGTGTAGTATATTTTACTTTGATCTAATTACATATTTGCTATATAGTTAAACTTATAAAATTAATTATGTTGTGAAAATTATATCATATTAAATATTTTTTTGAAATCTACAAAATAAGATCCATAATGAATATAAAAATTTATTTTAAAAATAAAATTCATTTTTAGTCATTCTTAAAATTAAATATGGAAAAAAATAGAAAATTTTATATTTTTAAAATCAAATAAAAAGTGATTTAAAATTAAACTATACCAAATTGTAAGATTTTAATCAACTATTAAAATAAAATTGAAACTAAAATCATTTAATATTTAGACCTTTTGATGCATTAAGGTTGGAGTGCAAATAACTTTGGTATACAAAGATGATTGGAATATTCTATTTCTACACCAAATTTAGTGTAAATTATAATGCAATGGTCGAAGATAACTCTTACAACCAAAATGAGTAGCGTACAATAGGAAGTACCGATTCCGAAGTTTACCATCTAGAGTGCAAACGTACTAGCAGCGGATCTTTTTGATGTTATCACAATATAATATGCTGAAACTGAATGTCCTATTTATTGTATAGAAAATACTCCCCCCATTTCTAAATTTAAGTCTTTTTATACTTGACACGTAAATTAAGGAGTCAATCATTCAACAATTAATTTATATGTAAATATCTTTTTTACCCCTCATTAATTACGTTGGAACTATAAACAACACTAAATAAAAATAAATTAACATCATTTATTGAGGGTAAATTTGAAAAAATAGTTATTAATTTGCCTAGAATTTGTAAAATGATCTACATTTTAAAAAATCTCTCCAAACCTGACCTACATTTTGAAATGGAGGGAGTATGCAGAAAGAGTGCTCATAATTAACTCTCCCACCTAAAAAATAATTATTTTATTGATTACGTTATTTGTAGAAATAGATAAAATGGAAAACTATTTCGATAGTTAATTATGTGCCTTCATTAATTGTGTTCTGCAATTAAAAAATTAAATTTGAAAGCCAAAGCAATAGACAGACAAAATTAAATTTGTGGACTTAAAGTCCTCTTGCTATTTTCCGGGGAACAATATACTGTTACATATAGAAGAACACTTGTCCGAACCTTGCATTACATGTGGCAACAGTCTCAATTGCGTGCCATCTTCTGGGCTCATGCAGTTGACACCATTTAATTATGAAATGCTATAGTAGAAGATAAATAACTCTGCCCGATCTATTCTAACTGTTCAAATTAACACAATAAAGTCCTATTTTAACTATTCAATTTATTGTATTACTACCTATGATAATATAATCGTTCAACTTGTTGTACTACATACGTTAGTCAAATTATAAAGTTCCATTTTAAATATGATCAATTTGTTGTATTGCTACGTTAGTGGATTAGTTAGAGGCGGCCGAGTAAGTATTAATAATATCAATTTGAGGAGGAACTTGTCCCCTGGCCCTCACGCAGGCTTACGTACGTACAAACAAGGTTATGGTTTTGACCTCTATGGATAACGCATCGGAAATCACTCCTTGTTTCACGACACTAATATACCACCCATTATGTTACTTTTGATAATTGATTTTGTTATGTTACTTTTGTCTTAAAAAAAAATTACTTATTCCGTTCCAAAATAAGTGTCATTTTAGAGTTTGCACATTGTTTAAGAAAACATTAAATATGGTACTTAAATTACTAGAATATCCTCAACCAACTCCATTAAAATAAATGTTCACCAATAATATTATTTCTTTTGAGGGTATGTTTAGAAATTCTTGACAAAAAATGCATTGAAATCTGAAAACGACACTTGTTTTAGAATTTTTCTATTTTGCTAAAACGACACTTATTTTGGAATGGAGGGAGTACTATTAAAACTAATGTAAATAAATGTTTTTGAGATGTAAATAGTTCTTGTATTAATCGTTAAGGCTCTATTTATTTCATTTTTTTGTTGGCCTTTTCTGATTATTTTATTAATAACTGTCCGATCCTAATATATCTTTTTACATTTTCAATTCAAGTTTTTACATTTTCAATATAAAAAATAATTAAAATACACACTCTAAAAAAAGGAAAGAAACCCGGGGAAAATAAAACACGGAAAGAATTTAGATAAAAATGCATGGTTTATAACCCTTTGAGCTTCTTCCTTTTTCTGACCGATCGAAGTTCATGGAAGACGACGCCGGAAGTAAGTACCGATGGCCAAAAACAACAACTTTATTGATTTCACAAGGGAAACAAGTTGTACACAGTAGTATGAAAAGCATGAAATCAACACTACAAAAGCGAAAAGCATAAAACTAAGAAACCGGATTCGATAAGGCAACAAATGCTCATTCTTCCTCAGCATCGGAGTCAAAGTCCTCCTGACCAGGAAGAACGTAACGGTAGAATACGAAATTAACGTCGAGAATATCATCTCCGGTGGTGGTGTTCAGGTAGTTTGTAGTACACGTGCCGACTCCACGCGCCAGCCGGAAATCGCCGGAACCGCCAATGATGGGGAACTCCCTGATGGGGGCGAACACCACGTTACGTCCCAAGACGCTGAGAGTGCTGCCTTTGTATTTACCCGCGGTGAAAACAAAATTTACCGTGATAAGTGTACTCATTTCTTCCTGCGACGACAAAGTGAATAGCCCCTGAGCATATCCAATGACGTTTGGTGAGAATGGTTTCTTGGCTAACGGACCGTCTAGTATGGTGACTAGGCCGAACTTCGTCGGCGACGTGGCCGTGGAGGCCGCCTGAGCGATCGGAGTACTCGCCGGAGGCTTCTTGCTGACGATGTTGTGAAGATAGAAGTGGAGTTTTGTCAGCTTAGGGACTGCATTGGGAAGCTGCTGGAACCATTTTTCGACGGCGGCCGGACTTTGGTCGTCCGGAAGGGCATGGCCTAATGAGGCCATGTTCATGACCACAATTGCCAGAACCAATGCTACCATGATTCTCATCATATCTCTCTTTTTTGAGTTTAATTGAGGATTCAAAGAAGTAATATTTTTCTTGTTTGTGGATGAAGTCAAGAAAATGCATGCACAAATATATAGAGAGAAATTTTGGATGAAACGGAGATGGATGTGAAGACAAGTTTTAAGTCGACCAATTTTCAAGAACTCCAGTGGAAATATTTAAAGCTATATTGATCACATTGCAATGTATATTAATTAAGGAAATAATAAAGCAATAAGCTGCAAAAAAAAAAAAAAACACATAAAAATTCTAAAGATTCCTACTGAAATAAAGAAGAACAAGGTGTTATCACCATTTTCAGTTGACCAAAAGAGAAGAAGACATGCACTATGTTTTTACTTAATTGCAAGTGCTACTCAAAGAATGGATGTAGTTTTTGGTGTTAAAAGGTTCATTGTGCCTAGTCATCGTGATTGAGAAATCTTACTTAGCCCAACGCTTTAAAAAAGAAAATTAACTCTTAATTCATAGATTATAGATACATTGCAAGTGGAATACAATATAATATTACAACATGGCCACTATATATGTTTCCAACCCCAGTGGGATCGTAATTAAATGTAAATGGGTTATTTTCGTTGTGACGACCTAAGATATTTTGTTACCCTTCTCGTAGTGATTTATCATAATAATTTCATTCATAAAATAAAAGTATCGAAATTTATTTTTGACATAATTAACACAAATCCAGCCTTAAGTATTGATTGTCTTGATACGGCTGCTTGTGTTTAGAGACTAATGGGGATTAAGCGGGTAGAAATTTACATAATCATAAATTATTTTATTTTGTTGGCTGAGCCAATGAAAGTTTTTCAAAATGATGATGTGTACGGTAGAAATCAAGTCCAAGGGGTCATTCCCTCCAAAACACAATTTTAAAACAAAAAAACGGTATGAAAGAGAGAAAATTCTACTAACACTTGCCTCTAAAGTTACATTTATCACAACGGAAAAATATTTTGGTTTGTAATTATATTAGATAATCCGTATTCACGAGAATAACAAAGTTTTGCTGTGACCCTATAGTTTTAATTTAAAAAGAGGAAAAGAACTAGTTACTAATGCCAAAGACTACATGTATTTGTAAATACATAGATGAATATTTGTGAAAAAATAATCTCCTGTTGACACAAAACCCATAAAGAAACAAAGAGAAAAAGAATAAAAAGGTAGGAAGGATGTAACTCATTCAAGGTATTATTAACGTATTTCATGATGAACAAGATAAAATCCACTATAATAAAAACTAAAGAGGTACTATATATCTCTTGCAATTTACTAGAGAAAAGAAAAATCAGCATCAATCAACCTTTAAAGGAAGTACTAACATCCCAATTATTGAGCTCCAGAAGTCATGGTCAACATGTACGTGGTCCCTCTGATCCTAATCATAATAGACAAATTTGGATTAATATTAATGCTACTTTGTACTTTATAATTAGGACCAAATGGATTATTATTAATTTGTGATGGCTCTTGAAAAAAATTAAATTAATTATTTGATTTTTTAAAAAAAGAAATTAAAAAAGACTTTCGCGTTTTTGTACAATTATTAACACACCAAACAAGACAATTTATTTAAGCATAAAATATTTGCTCAATTCATCTTTAAGTTGATAGATCGCTACTGTGTATGCTTCCGACTCATCGTCCCAAACATCAATTTTCAGAATTATTTAAGCATAAAATAAAATGCCATAAGAAAAGTAATTAATTAACGTTTGACTTTTACAGTCATGTCCCAAGAAATCACGATTATAATAGGAGCAATAGAAAATTGCAAACTCGGCATATGGTGATTATGTCGTAATCCATGACTTAAGCGCTTTGAAACCGACAATTTTTATTTTAAATGTACTTCTTATTTCTTAAAATTATTATTCAGTTTAGATTTTTAGTTTTAGTTCAATTTATACTAGAAAGAAAAACTCAAATTGCACAATAATTTTAGACGGCAAAGGAATACAATTTTGAAGGTCAGAGTGAACTTGCATTTCAGGTTCTTATCCCCAAGAAACTGATTAGTATTCATCTGAGATAGCCAATGGATTGACACAGGAGTATGAAGAGAACAACATATTACGCCTTCCGGTACTATTTATATTAATTTATTTATTAGTTTGTCTTAGAAATAGGACCAAAAAGAGTATCTTTTAACATAAAAATATCATGAGAAATATTCAACTGCCCTTTTTTTTTTTTAAAAGGAAAAATATATTCAACTGTTAGGTATGAATGTTCGCCGAAGTAGTCAAGTAGAAAAAAAAATGATGTTCAACGTCATGATATTTCAGTAGTTTTTTAAAAACCCGCCAAATTCAATTCTTTTGCAGCGTAAACTCTTAAACCACATTTGGATTGATTGATGCATTGTCTTAACACTTAAATTCTCTATATGTATTTATAACTAATCACGAATTAATCTCTAAAAATTGATTGAATTGTAATTTTTTTATTTGTAAAAATCCTACATCTATTAAGGGTACATTCAGAAAGCTAAGGTAAAATTATCCATTTAATATTCCAACTCTCTTTTTTTTTTTTTTCTGAATTTCATGTATATTTTGCCATTAAGAAATAAATTGTTGTTTTTCTTCCAATGCTAGACAAAGCAAAAAATTAAAAAATTAAAAACTGAAGAACTACCTAAATGTATTGACTTCCATGTCATAAGTTGGATAGGATATTCTTCATTGATATTTAAGAAATGGTAATTATTGTGCTTAAATAATAATTTAATCAAATAAATATTGCTGTTTACTTTGATGGAATGCGAGTTGTCTGATTAAGTCTCGTACTAATTATGATAATTGTAGAAAAATTAAGATAACAAAAAAAAAGTCATTTTTTTTATAAGTGTAGTATGCCTTAATCTCCTTTTTCTTCTTTTTCTTGGTTGCTTCGTTTCCTTCCTATTCACATTGAACAGAAAAATGCTGCGTTGTACTAAAGTCTGTCTAACTAGTTACGTTATTTCTTTTCTTACTTTAGATCTCTGAAATACTGTACTTTGAACCAGTACTTCTGAATAATATTAATTAATCAACAACCTTGTACCATAATAATCAAATTATATTTTTTATTTCTATATTCTTTTGAAAAGTCCATAGCAACAAAAATATCTAAAGCTGATTGAGAATAAAACGTTAACTTAATATCTAATTGGTACAAAAGCTTCGGCCTATTTTTTAAAACATTTCATGAGGAAGGGCAACGTGCGGACCCCCTTTCCTCCGTCACTGAGTTTGTAGGTAGAGGAATTTATTAAGCTCCAATTATTTTTTGTCAACAAATTGAATTGACTCTAAAAAGGATGAAAAAGATTAGTTTGCCTTCCGTAATTCATAATGATAAGTTTTTTTTTCTTAATTAATTCATCTAAAATTTCCGAAAACGACAATTACGGTGGATATTGAATTCCTAGTCACTAGGGCCTATATTGATAAGAACATATATAGTGAATTAATTTGGATTTTGGACCCACAGTTAGGCTTGAGTTTAGAAAAAAATGTCGTTCTTACTCAAAATTTTACCCTCGTCGTTAATTATACCCAATAGATTTTTGGTTAGCCAATTTTACCCTAATGTTTGAAATTTTTGCCAATTTCGTCCAATCAGCCCATTTTCCGTCTACATTAACGGATCTCCGTTAGGTTTTTAATAAATTAATAAATTTAATTACAAAAACACCTCAATAATTTTTTAAAAATTTTAAAAATAACCCCTAAAATTTTAAAAAATAACAAAACAGTCCCTTTTTACTTTTTTATTTTATTTTTCTCTATCTTGTTCTATTTCTCTTTACTACTTTTAATAACCATAAAAGTCTATTATATGAGTTTTAAAAAATATTTATTCATTTTCAAACTCTACCGTAAAAATTAATATTTATATAGTTGTAACCCATGATTGTATTTATATAAGTATGTTAATTTTTTTAATAATATAGTTTAGAAATACAGACATTATTTTTCTGATTTATTTTACTCTTCCTAACATAAAGATTAAAAACATTTAAATGAAACTAATATTCCACATAAAAATAAAATATTAGCTCAAATAAAAAAATATTAATATATTTTAGTGTATTACAATTTCACTCAAGAGACTATAACTTGCATTAATATAATACATAAAAAATAACTAAAATATAAAATAATTAAGACACTATTTTTCTGATTTATTTTATTCTTCCTAACATAAAGATTAAAAATATTTAAATGAAACTAATATTCCACATAAAAATAAAATATTAGCTCAAACAAAAAAATATTAATATATTTTAATGTATTAAAATTTAACTCAAGAGACTATAACTTGCATTAGTATAATTCATAAAAAAATAACTAAAATATAAAATAATTAAAACCTTAAAAAAATCCCCCAAACATAAGTTTTTCTTCTTGAATCTAAAACCTATTTTCTATCACAACAACTTATTACTATATTGTTACCTCCATTCATTTATTTTAAACTAAAATCATATAGAATAAACTAGTAAGACTTCCTCTATAGTAAGATATATTAATATCTCAAATAATTATTACAAAATATTAAATTCTCGATCGCATTGATAAGCATAAACATTTTTTTTTTATAAATTATATTATGCCATGTAGTCTCTCAAGTTAAATTATTAAAAAGATTAACCTGCATATATAAATACAATCATGTGTTACAACTATAAAAAGATTAATTTTTACGGTAGAGTTTGAAAATAAATAAATATTTCATATAATATACTTTTATGGTCATTAAAAGTAGTTGAGAGAAATGGAACAAAATAGAGGAAAATGAAATAAAAAAGTGAAAAAGGGAATATTTTGTTATTTTTATATATTTTAGGGTATTTTTAAAATTTTTAAAACTATTGGGGTGTTTTTGTATTTAAATTTATTATTTTATTAAAAAACTAAAGGAGATCCATTAATTTGGACGGAAAATGGGTCGATTGGACGAAGTTGGCGAAAATTTCAAACATTAGGGTAAAGTTGGCTAACCAAAAATCTATTGGGTATGATTGACAACGAGGGCAAAGTTTTGGGTAGGAACGACATTTTTTCCCTTTAGTTTAAGAGGTAAACACCCTGTTCTATCCGGACTTAATTTCTTAGTACAGGCTTGAAAATGTTTGAACTTATTGAAAGTTGAATTGATTGTTTCAGCTTTTGTATGTAAAGGTACGTGTTGAAAATTGTGTGTAGTGATACAAAATGAGGAGAAGCTAACAAAAACTTATGTGTAGCAAGTCCAAAGTATTTATTTTTTAAGAAAAAACACTGACCAAAAATTGTATTTTGCGTTTGATAAAACCTCTAGAGTTGTAGATTAATATTTGGTGGCCAACCAAACAAAGATTAATTCTCCGTTTTAGATTTTTCTATATGGATCAACTAAATTTACTTTGTATGTTTTTTCTTTCCCCACAAAGACATGCATCACAGGAATTACTTCAAAAATTGTTTATTGAAAAAAAAAGAAAAGAAAACCTTTCAGTTTTGAATGATGTGAACAAGGTCAAAAGCAAAAATGTCTACAGCACAATGTTTGTAAATTAATAATCTATAAATTAATAACTTCTAGTAATTAATAATTTTTTCCAGTACCAATTTAGGACCAGTATAAAAAGTGAAGAAAATTGATAAAATGATAAGATAATAACGTTTCAGAAATTCTCATATATATCCATAGGTCCCAACAATATCATAAATGAATAAATACCCTAAAAGCAAAAAAGTAATAATATCGTCAAAATAATTAGTACAATATTAACTATTGATACTTATTTTTTAGTCCTGGAGATGATATGAATTATGTATAGATATTTAGTATTCATAAGAGTTCTAATAATTGATTAATTCGGATATAGAAACAACTGCAAGTTATGTAGTTTACAGTTCTTTTTTACTCATACGAAATCTTCAAATTAATAATTTATTAATTTATCTATTATTTAATAATTCTCTAAATTAATAAATTTTGGCGATCCCAACATTATTAGTTTATAGAAGTTCTACTCTATATGAAAGAGTTTGTTCCTATACATTTAAAGAAGACTTAAAAAAATAAATAAATAAATTACCAAAAAAGAAAGAAGACTTTTCTTTGTCATCGAAAATTTCTATGTAGTACTTGCTCTCGTATTGAATTCAGCAGGGCACACGGTTTACTGCAATAAAATTACAACATATACAATCTAGGAATAAAAAATGTATTTTTTCCCTTTCAACCTAAAAAAGTAAAATTAAAAATAAAATGTGCAACTTTGAATTAATATCCAAGCTAGCTAAGAAGTACGGTAAACGAAAATTATCAATAGAGATCAAGTAACAATTAGTGTAAATGATAAAAGTACTGACCACTTTAATTGTAACTGGTGTTCTAATTAGGACGTACATGATCACACCATAATGAGTAAAGTAGTCATTTGGACAAAGTAATGGTTAAACTCATTTTTCAAACTTTTGAGAAGTCCATAACTACGTACATACGCCTGATAGTGGTTTCGCTGACCGATCTTATCGTGTGGCTCTTGATTATCAGATTCAGCACCTGGACGTTTCATATCTCAGACAAGGATTATTTTTGACATGGGCGAGAAGAACTTAAGCAAAAAAAGAATAAAATAAGAAAAGCACTTATCATAAAAGCCAAATGGTAAACATCAAAAGTAAGTATCATAGAAGCAAAATGGTAATAATAAAATCTCGATTAAATGATTATGAAAATCACTCGTTTTACGTATAAGTGAAATCAATATAAACAAAAAAAAAAAAAAAGAAAGAAAAGTGAAATCAATATAAGACTGAGGAAGCGTTCTATGGTGATCCTATGATGTCGAGCAAAAGATGTTTTGTCTACTTTAGTTTTTCTATCCCGTTGGATTTCTCCAAACGTTAGAATTAAAACGTTAATTTTCTGCGGTCTCTGTACGTGGACATTTGCTATAAATCCATTGGGACATTTTCTTCCAAGTTGAGCCAATGTGACAAAGTTGATAATTACTTCATCATCCATTCACGTCTCTTTGTTAACGTTAATTAGACATTTTACAATTCTGCTCCATTTTGACTCAACTTCTTCCTTCACAGATTCATACAACATACACATTGTAATTGACTTCTGCTTCAACCAAAAATGCATTGGCGGTGGCCGGTGGCTTTTTGTATTGATTTGGATAAACACGGTCCTAGCTTGATCTTCATCTATATGTAATAAATAAATCATGAATCCACATTAACTAAATAAATGATCTTTGTTTCAGCATAATATATGACGAGTTCAATGGTGGTGTTCATATGAAAGAAAACACATTATTTTTTTTTTTTTGGTACATAAGTCATTAGGTATCCTAAGTCGCAAATTCGACCTAGTTGGACACCTTTATTGATTGTACAAAGAAGAAAAACAGGAATCACAACGAAGATAAAAAACTGTAGAGTTTACAAATGAACATCGCTCAAAACAAGAAGAAAGAATGATTCTTTCACTTTCTCAATTCATCCTTGGGTTCCATGCTGATACTTGGCGGGTAATAGTAGAAGTCGAAAACCATCTCTTGAACATCTCCGATGGTGGGATCAATGAAGTAAATCCTGGAAGCGATAGTTCCTTGGGCCATCCGGAAATCACCGGAACCGCCGACTATCGAAATGTCGTTCCAGCCTTGCGCGGGGGCTAAACGCCCGAATGTGGTGAGAGTGCTGCCTTTGAACTCGCCGTCGGTGAAAACAAAGTTGATAGCCTCAAGGATACCTACTTCTGTTTGTGAGGAAAATACACCGAGTCCCTGGACCCGAGCGATAACCTTCGCGTCCGGGTGCTCGGTCATTGGTTGTTCGGTGATCGGACCATCGATGACCCTCACCAAGCCAAAGTTGGTATCGGGAGTGGAGTCCGTGGTGTTGGCCTTGGCAACCGCGACGCTCGCCGGAGGGACCATGGTGAGGATGTTGTTAAGATACAAGCGAAGCTTCATGTTCTGAGGTTTTGCATTTGGGAAATGTTTGAACCATTTTTCAACGGACTCAGGGCTTTGATCATCAGGAAGTGCACGACCAAATGAAGCCATGGTCATGCAGACAATAGCAAGAAGCAATGCTACCATTTTCGCCATTTTTTGATCGATGAATCTTAGACTTTTGGATGATGTTTTTTTTTTTTTCCTGTCGTCTTTGTTGTAGGACTAATGAATGATGGTTGCATGGCTACTACGTACGTTAAATATATAGGGGGAGTTTTGATGGACTGAGTCAAACTGAATAATCAACGCTTCATCTGGATTTCTTGGAAACCTAATTAGGTTTTTAGAACTGTAAGTCCTCCATAGGGATATTGTTGCAAAGAAAAATAAATAATACCATAAAAAAGGTACATCGACATCAGAGTATAGGACTTTGATATTGTTTCTTGTTTTGAAGAGCCGGGTCAAATTGAGTGAGTCCGGGATTTATTGAACACCTAATGACCCTAGCTCACAGGGCGGAGTATTAATTAATTAATCGCAGACATGATGAAACATTTTACCTTGGAAAAGTCTATGATCTTAACGCATCATAGAAAATATCTGTGGATATAATTTTTATCCAACACGAATAAGAAGAAGGCGTGTCATTGTTATATGTAGTCAGGTATCACGATGGCGAAATTTTACCTGCCCTACGCTGTTAAAAAGAAGATTAATCGACCATTTAATTTTCCACGTCTTGTGGTGTGACTGAATTTTTAAGACAGTTGTGTTGATATTAATAATTAAAATATATTTTTGTTCGACTGCTTCACCACAGTGATGTTATAACTGATATTTCATCGCCAAAGAAAAATAATTTACATTGAGTAGTAGTACAAATTTCAAAATTCTATATGAATTATTTTTATGACAGAGATAATATATTTTCCAAACCAAAATACACTTTGCGTGTTTCTTTCTTTACATTATTTTGTTTCCTATTTAAATTTCAGCTCCATTTTAACTTAACATCTTCCTTCTCTGACGCATACAACATTTATATGTACACATTCTGGTAGACATGCTTCAACAGGATTGCAAGAAGAAAATTAAGGCTGCCATTTTCGTCACTTTTTATCAATCAAATCCGAAGTTGTATTATGTTTTTCATTTTTTGCGGGGTGGGGAGTAATGCGTGGGGTCAAATTGACCAAGCACTCCGTGGAGAAGAATACAAAAGTTATAAATCGATGCTTATCTCATTTCAATATTCAGATGTAGAGAAGAAATACTCCCTCCTTGTCGAAATAATTAAATTTGTTCAGTTTAAATTTTCATTTTTAGTATAAATTGAATTAAAAGTGAAAATTCAATATAAACAATAATTTTGAGACGAAAAGAGTATATATTAATATATACGTTGTGGCTAAGAAACGATGTACAGTTAAAGCTTCTCATTCTGAACTGCATTAGCTTATTGTTAATTACTCTGAGTGCGAATTAACGACGGATGTTTAGGTCGGAGTCTAGTCATATGATGCTGAAATTTTACTTGCCCTAGGCTTTGAAAATGAAACATCCTATCTGTTGTGGTCAATTCAAGATCGGTGTGTTGCGACTGGAATTTAGCATAGTCGATTATTGGAGAAACGTACGTGTTTATATCTAGATCTATATATATATAGAGAGAGAGAGAATTGAAAAAGAAAAAGAAATAAAAGAAAAAGAAAAGAAAAGTCTTAATGCAGATCGGGCAGCCCCCTACGTACGTAAGGATTTTCCCATGTTATGGCTGCTGCTTCTAGCTTTCGTTTTGTAGAAGAGAAAATTAAATAAGCAATTAAAAGGTTAAATTTTCAGCATCAGGAAGCTTACCGGAGGAAGCTTATGAACGATCCGTCGGTGACAACTAACGCTAGAAAGTTAGGATCTTTTACATCTATTTGTGACAAGTATTTTTCTACAAAAATTTACTTGAACATTATAATTGCCATTCATTATTTGAAATTTACAAGTTTTGAATCTAACGTCGATTTCACGGTTTATTTCCTTTTCGCCAGGATAATAAATCCAATAAAGTTCAAGAGTTTGGTTGATTGCATTATCTACTTATGATATTACATTCTTATAAAATGTATGTTATCCGAAAGTGCGAATCATGATCAACTACATTTTCAAATTAGGCAACTTGCCCTAATCATAATAGCTTGTCTAAATATTAGCATTACGCGTTTACCAAGCAAGAAGAATGAATTATAATTAGTGTCTCATTTCATCTTAATATCATGTTTTGACAGATAAATTGTCCCCAAAAATCAACCGTACGTGGCGGACAATTTCTTTTTTCTTCCTCCTTTTGATCTTTTGAAAGAGGCGGGCAAGTAAAACATGGTTTATACCATAATACTGAAAATTGTCTTTGATTTGGAATAATAACAGTCAAAAAGATATACTCCCTCTGTCCCAAAATTATTGTCCAGTTTGAGATTTCACTTTTAGTATAATTTAAACTAAAAATAAAAACTCAAACTGGACAATAATTATGGGACGGAGGGAGTATCTTGCAACTGGAGAAAATGGAATTTTGATTGCTAAAAGAGGAAATCTTTTAACTAATTTAACTCCTTTTCTGGTACAATGGAAAATGCCTTTTGAAGCTAAATTACTACAAACTGTGAGTAGGTAATCCTAATAACATTATGTTTTAACTACGATTTGACAATTGGTGGTGGAAAATTTGTACTATGCAATCCTCCATTATTTCTTGTCAACAAAAAATAAAAAAATAAAAAGTTATTGTGCTTCTTTTTCTTGTCTAAAACTTTCAGGCACTAATAAATTCTGTACCATCTTATAAAAGTTGACATGGGCCAAAAGATTTGTTTTTTACATTATTGAAGTAACCAGCATATCTATACATATGCAAGACATCATGAAAACTTCTTTTTCATATATAAGTAGCAAAATGGTAAAACTATTGAGCGGAAGAGTTAGATCCAGCTATAATATCATTTGAATTACTCCTGGCCGGTTCAGGTAAAAGTTAACTTTAAAATTTAATTCAAATTTATGTCCTACACATATAACCGATCGAAGAAAATGCTATATATGAACCCAAACTTGATGCAAACAACATGTGATTCGTTGGATTTGAACAAAATTTTGGAATGATTAGCTGTTACTGTCGATTGAAAGGTAGCAACAGTCGATTAGATGTACTAACCAAAGTGGCCAGGAACAACAGTCCATTGAAAGGTACTTCAATGATTTGAGTAAAAATATTGGTCGAACCCAACTTGTTTTACAATTGTAGCGCATGCTAAGTAGATGTAAAACTAATAGTTACTCTAAACTTTAAGATTAATTGACCGATCCTTTTATATACTCCCTCCATTCACAAATAAATGTTGTTGGAAAAAAAATAAAATATTCTAAAATAGATGTCGTTCTCACAAATCGAGACATATTTTGTTAATTTTTTTCAATATTACCCTTATATTGAAAATTATAGTGATGTTTAATATAGAATTGTATTAGAACTGAATTTTATTGGGACTACAATTGAATTAAAAATAAATAAAAGTATTATAGTATTTTAACAAGAAAATTATTATCTTCTTTAAATTTTGTGAAATCTCTCCAGCGACATTTATTTGTAAATGGAGGGAGTATATCAATACAGTAATCAATGAAACTAGCTAAACGTCAACATTAAGTTTCGCACACATTTTCCTTTATCCCCTGCATTTTTTACTTACAAATATATTCGGCGAGAACAAGTACTTTTGATGATTACAATAATTTTACTCATCATTGGTCCGGAAACCAACGTTTGGTACGCCAAGAACGTAAAAAAATAAAATAAAATAAAATAAAATAAAATAAAAATCGTAAAATGTAATGACCAAAAGAAATCTGAAAATTTCCTGTTGATCTAGACAAATTTCCTGACCAGAAAATAAATAAATAAACCAACAAAGTAAAGGTAATGAAAGATCAAGTCTCGATAAAAGTACAATTATATTACTCAAATCATTGGCCCAAAAATCAATGTTTCATAATTCAAGAAAAGTAAATAATAATAGCAAATTTTAATGGTTAGGTTGTATGGAATAAAAATAAAAAATAAAAAATAGAACAATTAAGAATGAGATATAACGGATAATAATAATGGATCTTCGTAATATTGATCTTGTCTCTTGTGCAGCCTTGAGGTCTCTCTTTCATGACTTTGTCACTAACACTTTTATTTCGTCAAAGAAAGAACGGAAATAAGTGGTTGAAACTTCAATTTATAATCTTTCTAATTACATTTACTATTTGCTGAAAAAATAGTTTTTATATATTAATAATAAGTACAGAGAAAAATATTCACACGAGCAGCAGCTGCCGGTATGTTAACCATTTAAAGCTCAATAAGTTGTGTGGAATACAGTAGTTCTTACGGATATCCAGATTACATATTTGAGTTTTGCGAATGATAATCAACAAATTTGAAATAGCCCCCTAAAAAATAGTCAATAATCAACAAAATTTAAACAAATCCCTTCACTGCATGTATATATTTAGGTATTTAATTAACGCACAATTATAAAAATTCTACTTCTACTAAGTCCACATTTTCTTGATTCAGGAATTGGACACCGCCTAATTATTACAAGTGCGATGTTTAGTCGAATTGTAAGCACCTGATAATACTTTCAAAAACTTTGGTGAAATCCTTGAGCCTGATTATTATGAATGTTCTCTTTTCTTTTCTTTTTTTTCCTTTTTTTTTTACCGAACGGTACCATGGGGATCTTTGATTTTTATTAATAGAACATGAAAAAATATGAACAATACAGTGCTTAAAACGTATCTAAATGATAGATTTTGTTACAAGATTTTCTAATAGTTATAGACATTCTCGCCGAAAGTCTCCATTAATTAAACCCTTGTGTGTTTAAAGGGTTGGAGTTTTCGACTTGCAAGCAAGTCTACTGTGAGAACGTAACTATGGTTCTCGTAAGGCGTCATCTTAAACAAACATCAAGATAGAATGATCTCTTTATCCCAATATGATTTTTATAGTTATCTTATTTAAGTAATATAATAAATAAAATAATTATTTAAAAAAAAAAAACACTAAGAAGAAATGAAAATCTGTTTGTCGAATGCCCCATAGTGTG